CTATGAGTCATTTTAATAAATAAATTACAGTTCGGTTTTCTACTGTTACCTTGTTATCTTACAATTGATACATTTGCAAAAGTCGTTGAAATCGCGAAATTGTACATTTTAATGGTATGTGGCTAATAGAAGCAGTGACTTAAGTGGATATTATATCAGATATGTTGCATCTGATGTGCGGCAATGTCATATACAATCCCGTGAATGAGGCTGGAAGAATAAAGAATTGAGAGGAACAAANACAAATGTAATGAAAATCAGGATGTTGCACGAGTTTGGTCAATACCTGTACATTCACCACTACTCGTTTTACCAGTAATGTAACGGTGGTTTCTTTTTGGTTTAAAACGTGTGTAGTTTGGTAAAGCTTGAATACAAATACAAACACCTAATACCTTAAATCTCAACTCAACATTGAAAGTCCGGCTTCCGACCAGATTTGTACTACACGGTGCACATAGTGATAGTCCAACACGGACTGAGTGTTTAGCTTCAACATAAAATCACGATTAGGAGAAATGAAAAAGAAATGTGCGTAAAAGCTTCTTATTGGTAGATGATGCTAACTCCCGATGCTGATGGAATACCATCACAACAAAACTAAAACCTCATGCACTGTTGGTTTTTTCCATCTAAACCTGATTATTTTTTTCAAATCAAAAAATCATCATTTTCGGATCACCGTTTTTCTTGAAAGTTCCGTGCTGCTTCATTTTACGGTCGCTGGTCGCAGGTTTCCTCGTTTTTCGCATTAACGTTCAAGATGTCCATACCTAGGGTCCAAAATAGTACTTATAAACGGATGAGTTGAAATTGCACATTTGATGTTCAGTACACAATCTGCTGGAGACTCTGCATGCCATCGCTTTCGTAGCTAGGATAAGGTTACCAGTGCCATGCTGTGCTGTCAGTGTGATTTGGGGCTAGACAATTATCGTGATCACCAGTAGTGTTCCGATCTAGGTCGCACTTATGTGCTTCCTCATCTTATGATGCACTGTGTTACCTGTCGCGGTTGCGATTGATCTTTACCTGTTCTGTGCGCTTCTTAAAAAGTTAAGTGTGGATCGCATCTAGACAGGGTAGAATTCAGAGGATTTGCGACTTCAGATAACCTCCAATTAGTAAATTGTATTCAATAGCACGTCCGTTATCAGAACATCTGAACCAATCCGAAAGCACAAGTGATTTTAGTTCATCAAACCGGGGAAAGAAACAACCAAAGCATCAGTAGAAATTATTAGCAGGTATAGCGCACAAGCGTTCGGAGCAGCAATTGGTATGTTTTGAAGTGGAATGGATTTTAAGCAGGTTAGGTACAATTTAGGTTATCTGGGACAGCTCCTCGTGGTTTAGGAAAATACAAGCTTCTCCACCATTGTGATTTAGCATGAACCGTTTCTACGAAAATAGGATAGAAGACGAGGTTTTCAGAGGACAGGGAACAAACACACTTGAGTATTTGTTCGGCCTACTCATAGAACTAGTTTATATCCGCTACATCTATTGTCTCAGATATTAAAACAGTAGTATTTCGTCCTCTTCTGACCAGAAAACATTGATAGCATTTAGGTTATCCATTAGGCAAAGATACGTTGATAGTGCAACTGCAACGTAACAGTCATTCAGAAATAGAGAACACCGATTCTCAACGCATCTCTAAGGTTTAGTTTATTTGTGTTTCCTACTTACAACCTTCAGTTGCACAATGGATCCCATGCCTGATAGACGTGCGGAAATCAAACAAACAATGAACGGATCATTTATAGCCTAATTCAGTCAATGATTGTACTAGAAACGGTAAAATAATCGAGTCCGTTTGGTATCTTTCTTCTTCGTCTGAGTCTGTTATTGATTGTATTTCAAACGTGATGTGGTTTTATTGACGTGAAGGTGTGTAATCAGCTAATGGAGGCAGTGGAATAGTTCGGGTAATTTGGGTACACTGCATCACACCCGTTGAAGCGAAATCCGACTGTCAGTGAAGAGTTGGGTGTGTGGGGCAGCTCTTTGGTGCAAAGACATGGCTGTTATGAATAGCGTTCAACTTTTAACATCTTAAATGCACGTGAGTTCGCTTTAGTATATGCACTGTGTACTAGTGTATATAAGATAGTGAAACGGGCTAAAGGGCAGTTGAAAAACAGCGTTTATTCAATCACGTTCCATCAAATATTTATTTCGGTTTAAGTTGTGCACTGTAGGCTCAGTTGATGTACTATGGTTCTCAAAGAAAATTCACTGACTTTAAGGTACTTAACCAAAGATACAACAGGGAAATAGCAAAGAAATAAACCGCTGAATAGCGATTTGGTTTAGTTATCAAACAGCTTGAAACTCTGAAATTAACGCAAGCAAATACATGAAAATTTAGCACAATCCACGATAACAAGTTACACCGATAAATGAAAGGAAATTCAAAATTGAGAAAAAAAGAAGTCGGTTAAATACTGACCTATATGAATGATAGTTTTTAATTTGTTTTCATCTTCCGAGTTGTGCTGAGCTGTCTGACCATTGTGATCGGCCGCTCTGAGAGCAGTGAGAGAATGTGAGGTAATGATACCTCGTCTGGATGATCGTGTGGTTGGTCCGTTCTGGGAACGACCACGTTCCGCGCCCCAAGTCCAGTATTTCGCAACAGATTGAACTTTTGGTACCCCAGAAGGTTTGGGACTGTTAATGGGCAAATTCGTCCGCAGTTTGTCCACTGGGGATACTGGTTGTGGGGTTTCGGACAGTGTTCCTATTGGATCAGACGATTCTGATTTGCAATAAGGTGATTCAGCAATAACAGCTCCCAGATCACCGGCCGGAGTAATTGGAGAGGGAACTATGGTCTGTGCTGCAGACGGGCTGTAATGGGGAGTAGACAAGATCAACGAAGCCCAATTCATTTATGAGCAGGCGTTTAGACGTAAGCATTAGGCGAGATGAAAAATAATGAGTTCTGCTTACTTTAACGGCAGGCATTTGCTAGGACTCGGGAACAACAATCCGAATTAGAAAGCGAATCGGCAACAAAATGTAATACTGTTAGCACGAGCATTTAATTGGACTCAGGGTGGAGGAAATCGTAACATTCTATGTACATGCTCCTAATCTCCAAAGGTACATGTAAACATTTTATGGAGCAATTTGCACTTGAATTATGTGGAGATATTATGCAAATCTATAATATAAAGAATGATAAAACATTTCAAGAGGCCAGAAATTTAGCGAAACGGCCCTTTTTATTTTACGCTACTACAGTGTTAAAAGACGATGCCAAATTGGTTGGTGTACTCATTTGAAGAAAATCTCGGACAGTATTCAAAACGGAACAAATCAAAAATCCCATTCCTCTCAGTAACTTTGCGCATTTAAAATAATAATAACAATAATAATCCTAATATATTTCACACATGATTAAATCCAGAGTGCGTGCAAAAAAATCCGGGGGGAACAAGCTTTATGAAAAGGAAACGCTCCATGATTTTCTCATGGGCGGTGTACTGCTGGGTTTCCCAATCCAAAGAAAGTGAATTTTCTGGGGGAATTAAAAACTGGAGTCTTCTGTTAGCTAAAGCTCGATCCAAAAGAAAACAGTCTTTAGTAGCTCCCCTAGGTGAACCACCATTGGTTCACCCAACCGGATGTTGTCTTGTCATTCTCTCATATTGGTGGATAAACACCGCCACGAGAAAGCAGTGAATAGGGCTTCCTCAGCAGGGGTTATTTGAGATTCTCGTATAGATTGTATCTGATGGAACACCCAGTGCCCCCTTTATGCAACATTTTTCACATGAGAAGATAATGGCTTGATTATTCATAAACTATTTCTTCATTTCAAAGAGATGGATAAAATGACCTATTTATATACAGGAAGGTCATGAAAATCCTGAAAAAAGGTGGTCGGATTTGTACCGTCATGTTTATGTTGTGAGGAAACTGGTAACTATGATTCTGAAACTTGGATTGGCGGACCGCATAAGGCTTCAATAGATCAGGCGTGGTAGTGAGCCAGGCGACGGCAAAGCCGCCGACCACCTATCACTTTTATTTGTTTATTTACTTATTTATCACTTTTACTCACGGTTCATCCGTTTGTCTTTCACTGGACGATTCATTCGCATTCGGATCGATGTCTTTGACAACGCGGTTGGTTAACTGATCAACCCGTGTCACCGGTCCGTCACCACAAATGACCTGGTTTACTCCAGGCTGTGTACTCGCGTTTGACAGCAGTTCATCTCCGATTGGCTTGATTCGTTTTACAGATTCACTCTGGATCGCGCCGCCACCCTGTCGACTCGCCAGGTATCGTTGATTCACACGATAAATTTCTCCGCTTTGCCAACAAATCGATTCCACCACATCTAACCAATGTTGTTGTGGTCCAATTATCGAACCGGGTCGACATATTCGACACCAGGCGATGGCCTCTCGTGAATTGAATTTGTAATGCTTCATCAGATAACACGCAATCAATGTTCCAGTTCGACCTAAACCGGCTATCTCCAGTAACAGAGAAAGAGAGAGATGGGCGAACAGAGTAAATACCTCAGGATGAAAATCAGTTGTCAATTTTACCAGCAGTCACCACTTGAATAGATTGCAACATTCTCGAACTCTGATAGGTAGGTAATAGACTGAGGGATAACATATCTAAGTGACTAAATGTATTCGATTTCAGCAGACCCTCAATCACCAGACAAAATCGCGTTTTTCATGTTCACAAAAAAAAGGATGGTAAAAAGGTCCGTAGTAAATATTCTGATGGGGACATCAAGCGTTTTACATAGAAAACATCTGGAGGGGTTCAGTTAGTTTATTATAATCGTTGTCCATGCAAATCTGCGACAGATAGCATTTGCAATGAGATCTGCTCTGTCTGGGGTGCACAGGTGAGAGCAGTAACACGGAGCATGAAGCATGAAGAGTTTAGTTCACTTGCAAATGTTCATTTATGATATTCTGAAGAGTATGGAAGTGGTGCTGAAACGGTCCACAATGCGTCTGCATTTATTATGCGGTTAAATAAACAATTTTGAGGCGGATGCAGGAATGTGCGACAGGGTGAATCAATAGAAACACCGTGCCAGTCGTTCAAGCGTTTTCGCTGTATTCCGCTTAGAAATGTGTCAGTTTTGATTTGGTCGGACGCATTCATAGCGTTTTACGAGGATTGAAAAGTTGCTACATGGTGACTACCGAAAACTGCTTCGGAGCAGTTCACCGACATGTCGAAAAGTTCCTTGTTCCAGACAGTGCACATCACTTAACCTTTTATCGAGAAGATGAAAATGGAACTACAAACATGCCGTCTCCGGATTGTTGCCGAAAGTAAATAATGACGAAACAGGTGTTCAGGGAACGCAGTTATTTAAACAAAACAGTATTTAGCATTGTTGTACCTTAGTGTGATGAACAGCAGAGGGGGTAGAACCCCATAGTAACGAAGACCTGTTATTCAGTGATGGAAACCGGTANAAACTATGCCCTGGGGACTTGGAGTGGCGAACCACATAAGGCCCGGTTAAGTTAGGCGTGGTATTGAACGGGACAACAGCAAAGCCGCCTTCCAGAGCATCATGTCATTCGTAGTTACACAAATCAAAACAATGTGAACCGTGTAGCTATATACTTCCCATCACAATTAAAAATTACACATGTCATCTTTCATTAGACACAATCTATCACAAAGATTTATTCCAAATCAAAAACGTGATTTTACTCACCCTTACAATGCACAGCAATGGCACCCACAGATTGTTCACAAATCTGCAGAAAACGTTTCATTATGGTATCCGACGGGCAACTGCCATCCGTGAAGAACAGATCGTAGTGGGCGAAGCCGACGTCCGTGAAACGTTTTGCATCATAGATTTTTTTNGGATAACCTTAAAGCGTAGACAATTTTCGAAAAAGGGAAAAGCTTGGTTCATGAACTAATGAATTCGTCGGGATGTTTACACAAAAGAAATGAAACCATGTAGCGACGGAAGACGTTTTGCATCGAGATAGCCTAATTAAATTATTTGAAACGAACAAAATACAGCATTATTTTAATTTATTCATTCATTTACATTGATGATTTATAAGCATTATCGACTTTCATGAAAGAAATTTCTCCATCGCTGAGAAGTAAAAGCGAATTGGGTGCTCGTGATAAACATTCAAAAAATAATTTAAATATTTTTATTGACCTATTTCCTCCTTAGAGAAGAGATCAACTCAAGTTCAACGAACTGCCATTCACCCCAGTTTCGGTCAATTTAGAAATAAACTTAGCACTTTCTTAAGGTAGTTTTGACTGTTTTCTTTCATATACCTGTTTCGATGAAGAGATTGTGTTCATTATGCTATTAATCGGCGTGACTACAGTCCGGAGAAATTCAGTGCCTAAAGGTAAAACTCAAACCGGTAGGCGTGTTATGCAGTTTAGACTAATCCGTCGTCTGGTAAAAACAGTCATGAGGTTCGATTCAGTTGAACTAGCAAACATCTGATGTTGGACAGGATTTGAGTAAAACACTATTTGGGCCTAAAAGTCACTGATAACGTAATAGATTTAAAGTTGAAAAAATATGCAGACAAAGGAAATTATTTCGACTAATGAGCAGAAACAGTGTGCAATAGGAGTTACACTCAAGGAACACGGAGATATGATCTGTTTTTGTGAATGAGCATCTTGAAGACCGTTAAGGAACGATCAAATGAGTACTGATAAATTAAAGTCAACTCAAGTAATCGTTTTATGCACCACGATGAGGAAATGTTCGGCGGCCTTACTTCTAGTTTGACCATGACTGACATGGTCCAAACTAATGATCAATAAGCACCAAAACGAACAAAATGTAAGCATGTGTTCAACACCATAAAGAGTAGTATGACATGCACACGTGACAAGACACTACTATTGATTTTGAAACAAACTGCCGAAAACTTTTTAGATAAAAAACTGGTTTTCGGCTTACATTGCTGCTATAAATCACCTTAAAGTGGACCATACCGACCCTCTTTCAGTGCATGTGAAGAGTTATAGGTCCTTGATAAATGCTAAATACATATACAACACCCACCCACGCACCCCCGTACAAAATACAAATCTCTCGGAAGGTCCCCACGTGCAACATTTGAAGGTGGATCGAATTTCACACTCAAGTACCTCAAACACTGCATCGAGTTATGAATCGAACTACCAACATAAATCAGGCAGAGAGGAAGAGTTGTGGAGGAGACTGTCTAAGGATCATCTGATGAACTACCTTGTTTCTGCAATGTTGTACTGAGTTATCATGAAAGAGAACAAATATAGCAAACAAATGCTGAAATCGGTGGTCGTCATGCAAAACTACTTGAATCTGATCAGTGAACTTCGATTAATTAGTGTAACATTAAAACGATCCAAGCTCTTTAGGTTGTTCATAACAGATGTTAATGGCGAAAATGAAGAAATGAAAGGGAAAATAGGCGTTTTAGATAACTTCAGTTCCCTTAGCGAAGCGAAATAGAAAAAATGTTTTAGGGCTTAGAATGAACGATTCCTGAAGTCATAAGGCCTCGCTATTTTGATCAACCAAGGGACGAGTTAAAGTTGTCAATGATCAACATAAGGCAACTAGCATGAAAGCGCAAAACTGTATTTAGACAGAGTACGATCCGTTCCGTGTGTGATAGATGAATGTCCTTCCTTAGCCAGAATCGTGTTTCGATAGTTAAAAGTATCACAACTTAGCACAACGATGATACATTATACAGGGTCAGTTGGTTAAAAATACCGCAAAAGTGAAGAGTTCATATCCATTCAGTTCATGAAAACCATCCACCAAACATCTGCACACGCTGATTTTCGTCGTTGTCTCAAGATTTCTCATCTGGATGAACCAGTAGAGGGAAGTTTCGAATGACAAGTCGCGTTATTCCGTCTCAAATTGGAATAGAGAAGTCAGAGACTTAGGTTCGCACAATGTATCCGTGGTCATTTTTCTTCATCCATACACGTATATACTGCAGCCAAAGTAATTTCTACAGTCAGTGAGAGTAGAACTGTGAGAAAAAGACAAGATCACCAATCAGAACGAACAATACGGAACCCTAACATGAAGAACGAGAGGATTTAGGAGGTTAACCACCAAGGCAAAATAGTGTAACTAACCATTGATGTTGTTGGTGTAGATCGTGTTTGAGAGTATGAATGGCTAACTTCAGAAACANATCATGACATTACGTAACATTAGATATTACTACCAATAAGAACAGGGGGTGAGAGATTCGAGTCCTAATGGTTCAGTTATGGCTCTAATCATGCGTACGTGTGCTTGTGTGAACTGGAATCCCTCGTTCCCCGTTTGCTCCTGTTGTTGATCATATTTAATGTTATGTAATGGCATGATTACGAATAACTGAAAAGGAGCTTGTTCGCCATGCTGTTGTTCTCAATTTGTTCTGTGGGACCAATGAAACTTTGTGTTTATTGTATTGCAAGTGATGGATAAGTGTTGTGTTATCGAAGGTGTAAATGTTTCCAACTTTCCAACTTTTCACTTTCTGAAGCCACACCGAGATGTGTTTTCCCATTCGGTGACGTAACTGACTTACTGCCCTGCCTACGTGGATGGTGGAGCATCCAAACATGAATTGGCCACTTACCGTCAGGGTTCTCATAACCTAATGCCAGGTCTGAGTGACTACTTTTTACTTTTTCTACCCAACAAGTGACTCGACAAACAGCGCGCGTCGTGGTAATCTGTTTGATGATATGTGCAACACACACATTATATATATATATATATATGACACGTGTGAATCCAGACAGTAAGGTAAACAAATCACAGTACACTATTCTTTGTAGAAACAGAAAGTCCCAAAACATTTCTGAACCAATGTGGTCTATGCAGGTCGACCACCTGTTTCAGTGGATGACCGCGATTACCTAAAGTTCTGCGTCTAACCTCAGCATTGTTCGGTCGGTTCCCAGCCAGACTTTTGCAATGCTGCGTAGACAACAGCGTTCGAACATTGAAAGTCTATCTTCATCTTTTTTTCGTAATGGCTACGTCTCTGATTCGTGTAGCAGCACTGGCCCAACTGCTACAGTATGCCCTCGACCCTTCGCAGACAGCGGAATGTCTCGACAAATGTCTCTAGTTGGCAAATGTCAATTGAACCTTCAGTATGCATATCGACACTTCATCCGCAATGCGTCTTCCCGGTGAGATGTAGCTGACCAGATAGGAGTTATTCAATCACTACCTCTATTACGTCTCCAGATATAGTGAGGCTGGACCGACCCAGTCCTGCAGCACCATCCTACACTTTGATGCAGAGCAGAGATGTATGCTACCGAGCGCGTCCCTAGGTCGCGGATAGGGAAACGGCCGTCATCTCACGGCTAACCGTGAATAAGGTGGGCTTAGGCCCCCAAATAAGCGATCGCGGACGATCAGCGGCAGTGCTCGAGCAAGTGGTGGGTCTACTCTTTGGCAAGAGTACCCCGCACAAAATACCACACATATCTGTGGACAGCACTGTGACGTGGCGAGTGTGGCCCGCCACTAAATATGGCCATCGCCCCTTGTCGAAATCTATTGTTCGGCAAGGTTCCAGAGGAAGCGAATGAATCAAATACTGACCATCGGCTCATCTGTTATATCGCTGCTGCCTTGCAGTCCTCGTTTGGTTGCGCAAAGACTAGAGTGCACCCTCGAACAAAGCCTACTCTGGACGGGGCGACCGATTAGAACAACAATCCACAACACCAGCAACGGTAAACATTTCGAATTCTATGTGCATCCAATCTACAATTTCTGCAACTAGAGACAAATACTTTACAGCGTACACACACTCATGTACCCCAAGCCCTCCCCCACCCTTTTCTCGGGATCTTCAGACGATCGTGCAAACACTAATGCCTCAGATGTAAACTATGCCGCTGTTCCCTCATATCCTACCTCGACTACCGTCCAAGTCTCGCCGAATGCTCCACCAGCTGAAGACCTTCTCCGCCCTCGATGTCCTTTTAAACTAGCCACATTTAATGTGCGCTCTCTGATGCGTATAGGACAACATGCGTGTTTAGCTCGTACTCTCGAAACCCTAGCCATCGATGTGTGTTGCANCTTGTTTACTATGCACTGAATGAAAAGAGGATAGAAATTTAGAATACGTGTGCACAACCTA